ATTGCTTCAAAGTTAAAATAGCCCTAAAATTTTGTATTTTTATATCTTGACAGCTTTCCCAGATAAACATTTTATGTACCAGCCTTTGTAGTTGGAGTTCATCAGTGTCTCAGAGACTCCTTACCTCCTGCGGTCCTGGTATCTGTGTTCACTTATGCAGAGGTTCAGAAAAGAAAACAGAGCATTACAACAGCACACACATTCTGTCTAAATGGACCATTTGTCTCTTTGTTGGGCTTTAACACACATTTCCTTCTTCCTCACATGCCTCACAACTGCACCAGAAGAAGATTTCCCTGTATTCTCCTCCCTTCATCTTAGCTGCTGGTAGATGGTAACAAGACCATGGTTAGTTTGAGGTTTAAGCTTAGTTGAGATCTTTCTCCATGTTTTTTTCAGGCCATCGAAGGCTGCGTGTACTGATGAGGGACTAAAATCACTGGCGGGGTTGGCGGGGTGGGGGGCTGGTGCAAAGCCACAATTCTTTAACAGTACATAGAATTCTTACACAAAAAAAGGCTAACAGTACTGATTTGTCACTTTATTTATACTACTTAATCTGTGCTCTTATAATTTCTTTAGCCTAACTAGATGTGAATAAGATAAAAATTTAAAAGCCAGATCACAGTATTTTCTATTCATGAAGCCCTCCAGTTTAAATTTGTACTAATCCTAGTAGAACATGTTAGATTTGCTCTCTCTTCTTGTATCACCTCTCTGTGTCAGCAACATGTGGGAAGATTTATGTTGTGTATTCCCGGTAGGTGTACAGAGGCAAAGCCATCAGTAACAATGCAGTATGCTGAAAACATTCTTGCAGATTGACCCTTTGCCTAATTTCAAACTCTGTTCTATTAAGACTCTTGTCTGTCCCTAAGACCTGCCTTCTTCCCCAGCTACTTCACTTGTTTCACTGCCTTCTACACACACACACACACACACACGCGCACGCGCGCGCACACACGTGCATGCACACACACATATGGTTATTCTCTCCCCTCGCTGTTTCCATCTCTCTGCTACATTCATGGGATCTGCATTTGAAAGAATGGAGGACAGACGGGGTAGGGCTTCTATTCACATTCTGCCCTAACTCTCTTACTATTCCAGTTAATCCTAAACCATCACCAGCTAAATCTAGACGAGCCTGGAAAATGGCACAATACTTACTATAATATATACCATGTCCTTCTCTAAACAAGGAAAGAACAACTTAGAAAGGAAAAACAAGACAATAATGAAATTTAAAGCCAAAGAAAAAGTAGACAAAGATATGTATCTTGTTGTCACATTTTAAGTTCAAAAATTTAATAGCTTGTGAGAAATTGTATTAATCGTCTCTGTGGATTAAAAGCTGTATATTTCTTACCCCCATTATAGAGCCATCTGAAATCAGCAATTAGGGGCCCTAAACCAACTTCACTAAGTAGCCATGTTAAGAAAGAGAGGCAAAAAGTTTTATGTTCAATAGTATCATTGAGAGAGGAGTTTAAAAAAAAACAAAACACTCCTTGACAAAGATCTGGCAAACTACTGGAAGCTTTAAAGCTTCTAAGAGCTGTATCATTCCTGGGCTTGTAGCTTCCACGTTCTTGTAGGAGCTCCAGGGGCATCTGATTGCTTTGGGAAATGGAGTTGTGGACTCGGGGATGCCATTTTTTTGAGTCATGAACCACACCCCACTGCTACACATGGGACTTTGGAGACGTGTTCCCAAGTTCAGCAGAATGATGATGTCTGGCTCTTCGGAGGAGCAAACTTTCTTGGCACTTCATATGTTTTTTCAGAATATTTTAAGCCAAGTGCTACATTGATTTGATTAAAATTCCCTCCTGAAGCTTCGTTTTCAAAGAAAATGTATTATCCTTTTTGAATTTTGATGAGGTCTTCCTGGCAAGTCAACCTTGGAGTTTATTTAATAAGGGTATTGGATTCGGAGAGTTACTTAGAATGAGGGTTATCTCACCAGCCATACGTGGAAAAGTGCAGGGAAAGGGTTTTTAACCTTGGGATAATATTGTATTTTGATAAAATTTAAGACTTACAAAAAATGCACCGTGATAGGGCTCTCTCATATCGCCTTTACTAGAGCCACCAACTGTTGGCATTTGCTCGCCACCCCTGCCCCATCTCGTCTCTTCCCTCCATCCCATCCCCTCCTGTCTCATGTACATATACATGATATACAAAATTGGGGCTCCCTAATAGAACGCTATAGACTGAGTGGCTTATAAACCATAAAAATTGCTTTCTCACGGTTCTGGAGGCCAGAAATTCGAGATCAGGGTGCCAGTGTGTTCTATGTCTGATGAGAGCCCACTTGCTGTTTGTAGAGGATCATCTCCTTGCTGCAGCCTCACATGGTGACTGTCCTCCCGTGGTAGGATGGGCACAGGAGCTCTCTGAGGTGTCCTTTATAAGGGTGTCAGTTCTCTTCAGGAGGGCTCCACCTTCCTGACTGAATGCCTCCCAAAGGCCTCACCTCCTAAGACATCACCCTGGGGATGAACTTTCAGCATAGGAAATTTGGGGCACACAAACGTTCGGTCTCATCACAATACAGTGATGGAGATGAGGAAATGTAACCTTGATGCAGTGTTCAATCCACAGCCCATTTCCAGCTGCGCCCGTTCCCCTCCAGCCATGCCCCTTCTAGCCCCCGCTGTCTCTTCAGGAAAAGGGTTTTTACTTAAATTAATTTAATCACCAAAGATTTCAAAGTCCATTTTGGCTGTGATTGCTCTGTAGAAGAATTCTGTAAAGGATTCACAAACTAGATGAAGGAGAAGTCCTTGTTCATGGCTTAACCCGAATGTGGCCGGTGCAGATACGGTTTTTTGCACATCTCTCTTGGGAACGAGGGAAGGACCCCTCTCCTGTATTACCCTCCATCGTGGATGAACCTTGCTGATCTCTGCTTTCTTGCTGAATGAATCTAGAAGTTGTTTGTTTTTTTGTTTGTTTGTTTTTCCTGTTGGTCAGTTAAGGGAAGTATCCTCAGGGCTCTCCTGGTTTTCTGACTTCAGTCTGTGGAAGGTCTATGATCACCTTGACCTTGTTGCTTCTTATCCAAGGAAAAACTAACAAGAGAATAAGAGCTGGGGAACCTGCCAAAGGAGGTTAAGGCAAGGTCATCCATAGTTTGAAAGCAAAGCCCCAACAGGAACAGTGCACCTCAGGTCTGAGAAGGGGCTGAGGTTCAAGCTGAAGCACATAGCCAGGAGGCCACACCGGCGTTGGAGCCCCTGTCACAGGAGCAACCTAAGACAGTGGACTGCAGAGTGAGCGAGGGAAGCTCTTGCTCTAGGGGGAGGCTTTTTCCTCTCTTCCTTCCTCCACACTCACTCCCACAGCTCCTGCCCCTGCATCTCTCCCTGTCCTATACTCCCTGCCACTTGGCAAATCTTAAATTTTACCAAAACAAAAAATGGCCCCCAAATTAAAAAGCCCTTCTCTTTCATTTCCCCCTCATGATCTGTGCCTACTTTGACCCTAATTCCAAGTAACTCTGAGAGGGGTCGGTAGTGAGAGGAGAGACAGCGTGGAGGACGAGGGAAGACAAACTGTCCTACCAGCATTGAGGACTGCCCGCCCTGGTGTCACCCACCACTGTTATCCACACGTCCCTGGCACACTCCTTCCCCTCTGCCACCTCTTCTTCTTCTTCTTTTTTTTTTTTTTTCAGTTTTTTTTATTAACATATAATGTATTATTAACTCCAGGGGTACAGGTCTGTGAATCGCCAGGTTTACACACTTCACAGCACTCACCATAGCACATACCCTCCCCAATGTCCGTAATCCAGCCACACTATCCCTCTCCACCCCCAGCAACCCTCAGTTTGTTTTGTGAGGTTAAGAGTCTCTTATGGTTTGTCTCCCTCCCGATCCCATCTTGTTTCATTTATTCTTTTCCTACCCCCAAGCCCCCCATGTTGCCTCTCAACTTCCTCATATCAGAGGGATCATATGGTAATTGTCTTTCTCTGATTGACTTATTTCGCTAAGCAAAATACCCTCTAGTTCCATCCACGTCGTCGCAAATGGCAAGATTTCATTTCTTTTGATGGCTGCATAGTATTCCATTGTATATATATACCACATCTTTATCCATGCATCTGTTGATGGACATCTAGGTTCTTTCCATAGTATTCTGCCGCCTCTTCTTGTTCCTCCTCCTCTCACCTCAGCCCAGTCCTGTCCTCTTTCATCCCCTCTCCCGGCTCCCTCAGTTCCCTAGGCCTTTTTCTCTCAGGCCAAATGAGTTCACCAAGGCCTTAGAAACTGAAGAAGCAGGTATTTCCAGAACCCCAATTAGAAGCTTTTGAAAGTAGTTTTTAGGTGGAAATGTTGGTCTGAATGTAGGTTATGTCCATAGCACCATTCATCCTCCGTGATCAGACACATTGGGACCCAGAAGTCCCTTTCAGGGGCTGACCTGCTTCCCTGACTGCCCACCTACCAGAGTTGTCTAGGAAACATGCTGAGTTCCAGAAAACCTTCTTGTAGCACACCTGATTCCTACTCAGCTTTCTCTCTTTTATACTTGACTGTGATCCTTGTGAACTGAAGTGGGTAAGATTTTTCTGGATTGACCATGTCTTTTGTGAGAACAGATGGATGAAATTTCCTAATCAACTGAGTTTAGCTAGCTTGGTACAATTGAGCAACTTTTAAATTGATGGCCTGGAAGAGAGTCTCTATTTTTGTTTATTTTTACAAGGTGTCATTTTGGTGGTCCAGTAGTCCAAACGAATAAGTGGGAAAAAAAAAAATCAAAGTTTTAACGTAAAGTTTTGGTGTTGCTGGTGGTGATCTCTCACCCAAGCTGGGAGTAAGGACATCCCACCTATTTCCACTAGAACAGTTACAGACATTTTTTGGACAGTGTACCCCTCCTGTTTGTTTGCCTGCTCCTAGGCTCATGAAATGCTACATGCTGAAATTCACAGCTCTGTCATTTCCCTGTCCTCTTTTCTCCCTGGCATGCTTTATAAACAGCGGGTCACAGAAAGTCGAGAGAGCCAGATGACTATCGAAGAGAGGAAGCATCTCATCTCTGTGAGAGAAGAAGCCTGGAAGACAAAAGGCAAAGGGGCGGCCAACGACTCCACCCAGTTTACAGTGGCTGGTAGAATGGTGAAGAAAGGTCAGAGTCTGTGTGTGTGTGTGTGTGTGTGTGTGTGTGTATATGCACCTGTGCATGTGGGGAGTGGGACACACACACCAACTCAGTTGCCCACAGAAGGGAGGATGGCCTGTGATAACCCAATTTAAAAAATCAAGCCATGATCTTTTTTAGTTTTTACTCTTATTGAAGTTGTACGGATTTTTTTGGGGGGGGGTAGATTGGGGAGCTCTTCCTACTGAAAACCCTTTCTTCCTAAATGGCATCATCTTCATGTAAGAAGTATAATTCAGTTAGTCACATTTCAGAATTTAGCCAGTTGGCGCTTTTTTTTTTTTTAAGATTTTATTTATTTGAGAGAGAGAGAATGAGAGAGCACATGAGAAGGGGGGAGGTCAGAGGGAGAAGCAGGCTCCCCACTGTGCAGGGAGCCTGAGGAGGAACTTGATCCCAGGACTCCAGGATCACGACCTGAGCCAAAAACAGTCGCTTAACCAACTGAACCACCCAGGCACCCAGAATTTAGCCATTTGGAAGTTGAGCACAGGTTTCAAAAGCAATGGCAAATCTTCTAACAAATCTTAGTCCTTTCCCATAATTGCTTTAAAATTATTTTCATTTTCTTGCCACCTGGCAATCAGTTAACCCAAATAAGCCTTTGTCAATGAAGAAGGAGTTTGCATCTTCTCTTTTTTGGAGGAATTCCTAGGTCCCTTTCCACCAAACTAGAGTTTGCTGGCTTACAAAACCCTATTTCCGGAGAGGTTTTAATAGATTTTTAAAAGACGTATGCCATCCTGAGGAAGTAGGATTCCCTGCAGACGGTCTCTTCTTTGCCGCTGAGCTCTTAAAACTGATTTGAAGTTGGTAGTCAAAGATTTGTGAAATTGACCAATGCCTCACATGGTCAGTGAAGTCACTTTTTGCCTCACGTGGTCAGTAAAGCTGTGAGCCTCCATATCCTATGGGAAATGGTTAAAATCTGGGGTTCGTTCATCACCTATATGCCTATACTTTCATTTCCTAAGGTATTGTTTGAAAACAAATTTCCTGACTTCGTGGTATTAGTGCTCACACGCACTTAGAGTTAATGTATGTTGTCATCAGCTTTCTTAGTTCATGCTTCTCTTCCCTGGAAAACTTCCAGGATCCTCACTTATAAATAGTGCCTAACTCATTATAGGCACATAATAAATATTTGCAGAAGGAAGGGCGGGGAAACCCTGAATTGTGATTAACTCAAATCTTGGTGTAGGAAAACAGAAGGTAATTTGCTCCCACTGAATGAGGTGGTAACTGTGTATTTTCTTCATCAGATCAGAGACCTGTATACACATGTTAAACAACTTTGGCCCGAGCCCTGTTCCTGTGTTAACAAAAGCAGACCCTGAGGCCCATGCTGGTTAAGAACTCAAGCTGGGAACTTGAACCAGAGTTCCCATCTTCCAACTTTTAGCCTGGACTTTTATCCCAATAATTTTGAACTTTGGTTTCTTTCTTATTCTTCCATCTTAAAAATTATCATTTATTTGTAACCAGGCCCTTATTACCAAATACACTGTCCTTGTCCACAGGGATGTCAGAGGAAGTGGATTTGGAGAACAGGGTCAGAGACATTCGTATCCCTTAGTGCAGGAGTTTGCTTTCACATTTCTTGAACAAATCCAGGGTCTTTATTTAACAGGTGCTATATGGCTGGCTCAGGAAATAAATGTCTTGTACTTTTCATGTAAGGAAAAAAACTGTATCCTGTTTTTCTAATATTTTTACCATCTGCTGTTACATGTTTCACTGGAATCATCAGCTCTTTCTGATTTGCAGGAATACGGCATCTAGTGTGCTACACTCACTGCAGAATAACATAGTCCCTATGCCACAGCCACAGAGACTTCTCCGCTCAGCTCAGTGTTGCTACATATTAACCCTGATTTTCCTTCCCTTCTCTTACTTCGTTAAGATGTTTTGTTGTTCCTAGACTGTACCTAAGGATTAGTGCTCTAGTTCTTGTGGCATTTGACAATTCTCCTGAAAGTTCTCAAAATATCCCTTTGAATAAGAGAGCTGGGAAGATGTCTCTGAAGAGAGTAGGTGGCTGGTAATTGCAGGTAGAATTCACTGAGAAGGGGTACAGGGAGTGCTTTAACAGTGTTGAGTTAGGGAGAAACCCTTGCCTGTAGTTGGGAAAGGGAACGTCCCACCTCTGGGAGCTCTTGTGCATGCTGCTGGCTGGATGGGCAGCAGGGGGCGCCCCTACAGGCCGGAGGGCCAAGTTCTCTGAGCTTCAGAGTTTGGGAACTTTTCTGTTGTCTCCCGTAGGTGATGATTTACGGCACCTGTACGGGCTGTGTTACCAAATTTTACTTTATTATCTTTCAAGAAAGTTTGCTTTCTCACATAAACCTTTTTCAGGTTTGGTCATTGAAACAAATGTTTGGATTTTTATGGACATCATCAAGCAAATGTATGTACCTATTAAGAAGTACTTCTAGAATATCACCTAAAACTGAAGTTTTAAGCCACATTTCTGTATTTTTTCTTTAAAAGTTTTATGCTATTATACATCCCTCTCCAGTGAACAGGAGGAGAGCAATTCATTCATTTATTTTTCCTAGTCAGCGATAGTGAGTTACATATTCCGCAAATGCTGTTCTTTGAGGGATGCTTAAAGGGGCAGTGTCATCTAATGATTTCACATTTATTACAAATGAATACAAAGAACATTAACATCTCATTTTGTTCTTTGTAAATGCACTAATTACTTTCCTTTGCAATCCCTTTACTTAGGTGAAGAAAAGGGTACTCATCTTTGTTCTTATTAAGGTTTCTTGTTCCAACCAGATACCCTCTCTATGTTGGAATGCCTTTCTTTCATATGTCCCTAACACTTACACTTTAAAAAAAAAAATTCCCCACTCTGCTTTTTTTTAAAAAATATTTTATTTATTAGAGAGAGACAGGCAGAGAGAGTGCACAAGCAGGGGGAGCAGCAGGCAGAGGGAGAAGCAGGTTCCTCACTGAGCAAGGAGCCTGACTCAGGACTCGATCCCAATACCTTGGGATCATGACCTGAGCCGAAAGGCAGACTCTTAACCCACTGCACTGGCCCGGCATCCCCCCGCTCTGCTCCTTGATAAATGTATGTGAAAGCATTTAGCTAGTTCCCAGCCACACCCAAGATAGATAAGACCCTTCAGCGATCATAAATCAATTTTAATGTATCCTCTTCTGTGTCTTTCTTCTAAAAGGTTAGTGCTCCTTAGGTTATTGCTCAATAAAATCACTCTCTGACTGATGCCCCCGAAGGCCAAACTGCCCTACCTTGGGTCATCCTGCAGGAAGACCCCAGTGCCAGGGGCCGCTTGACAGCTGGTATGACACGGCCCATTCTCCACTGCCTCTGTGGGATGTGGTGCAAATATACTTTCTCTTGAACTACCTCCACCACCTAAAGGGCCTTCAGGACTCACAACTCCATGTATTCTAGTATATTCTGATGCTTTATGTACTCTTCTATTCCACTTACGTGTTCCGGGCACGTTTTCTCACCTGTCCTCATTGTTCCTTTTGGAGTGGCAGCTTCTCAGCTACTGTAGGCCTTAGAAACTATAAAACTCTGTCCACATCTGCAGCTGTCCTACGTAGCAACGATACCTGCTGAATGGACGTACGTGTGCACATGTGTGCCCGTGTGTGAGGTCTGTAAGTTGTAAAACCTACAATGGGACTATTGGAGATCCGGCAGGGTCCTGGGAATTTCCAGAAATGATCCTGAGCTCTTTTGATGTTCTGCAGGTTTGGCATCACCCACGGCCATAACTCCAGTGGCGTCTCCCATCTGCAGTAAAACGAGGGGCACCACACCAGTTTCTAAGCCCTTGGAAGGTAAGTCACCGGGGCACCTGATATGCCCCTGGGTCTAAGACCAGAAGAGTCCCCGTGGCGCTGTCTCACGGATGGTTTCCGCTTACCTAGATATCGAAGCGAGACCTGACATGCAGTTGGAATCGGACCTGAAGCTCGACAGGCTGGAAACCTTTCTGAGGAGGCTGAATAACAAAGGTACATACCGGAAGCCAGAGCGAGGCTTTGGGTTTTGAGCTTGTAGCTCGCTGTGATTCATATCCAATGAGTAGCTAAGGGAACCTAAAGAGAAAACCCCGCTTCTCTCTCAGAATCTCTAAATCGTGATTCTGATTGCTTTTTCTCCTCAGCTAAATTGTCTCTTTTCTGTTTGACTTCACCAAGTCATAGTGAAAGTATTATCTTCATTACCATTTGTTTGAAAAAGGAAGTCAGAAATGATTGGATTACCCCGGTCTGATTCACTTCTTACTGTACTAGTTCGGGGATCTCCAGTAAGATTGGTTCCTGAGTCCCACTCAGTCCTTGGGATGTCACCCAGTCAGGACTGGGAACACAGTAATTTTGCTTTTATACTTGAAAGCAGATACTACACAAAATTGACATGATCACACACTGGATGAAATTTAAATTGTATATGTCAGGTTTTTTTTTTTTTTTTTTTTTTTTTTAAGGATTTTATTTATTTATTTGAGATAGAGAATAAGGAAGAGAGCGTGAGCCAGGGAAAAGATAGAGGGAGAAGCACAGAGCCCAATGCAGGGCTCTATCTCAAGACCCTGGGCTCATGACCTGAGCCACACAGGCACCCCTATCTATCAGTTTCTAATAAGGTAGCAGATGACATATTGCAAGTGATTTCTGAATACATGTTGAAATATATACATCAGTATAAAAGTCCTTAAAGTATACAAAGTAACGGAATAATATGCAGAACTAGCATCATCTCAATAAAAATGTCCAGTACTTGAAACCAATCACATACTAAGCACTGGGAGTCGCTGCTGTTGACCATGGCCTCCTAACAGGTTGGGGATAATGTAGACAAATGCTTTATACCAGCAACATCAAAGTGTAAGGTCATAACGAAACTGGCAAGGCAAGGAGTTCAAACAACTTGAAGCCTATTACATATGTATAACGGTGATCTAGCTCAGGGGGTCAGGAAACAAATCCAGCTCTCCGCCTGTTTTTGTTAATGACGTTTGTTTGGAACGAAGTCATGCTCCCTTGTTAATGTATTGTAAAGAGTCCCCTTTGCCCAGTAGCAGAGGTGAGTGCTTGCCGTACAGTCCCTATGACCTCCCACACACAGCCTATAATGTTTACCATGTGACCTTTTCTAGAAAAAGTTTTTACTGATTTCTGATCTAGAATGAGGCTGAGGCCATTTCTGCCTCCAGTGGTTCAGAAATGCTCGGTGGGCTTTTATCGCCTCCTCTCCTAACACCTGCCAGGTGCAAGGTTTTTGCAATGGACAGTCCTTCCGTGAGACGTCAGGAAGGCCCAGAAACTATCACGTTCTCTCTGCTCTTGGCATTCAGGGGGAAATATTTTGAAGACCTCGTGAAGCGTAGTTGGGGTAGTGTTTTGACACAAATCCAAGGTCATGTATTCGCTTCGTCTGTCATAGTTGGCGGAGAGACCGTACTCACGGTCACTGGGAAATCTGTGAAGGAGGTCATGAAGCTGGACGATGACGAGACCTTTGCCAGATTTTACCGCAGCATGGATGACACCGTCCCGCGAAGCCCCGTGGAGCTGGACGAGGATTTTGATGTCATTTTCGATCCTTATGCCCCTAAGTGAGTGATTTCTGTTTCTTTCACCCACAGAGAAGGGATGATTCTGTCGTCAGCCTTCACACGGTACCTCCATGAGGATCTTCTCTCACTGCCACCTCCTTCTGCCGCAGACCTTCCTCACAGACACAGGGTTATTCTCTAGAGCCAGACACGTAGGGTAGGTGACATGCGCACTCCAGAACAGACGTGCGCTCGGGCAGGAGGTCAGCGAAGACCGCGCGAAGACCGCGTGTGCCGCGGGTGTTTGCCCCTGCCCATAAAAGTAAGGTCACTGCGTTTGTCACATAACTGAATATTGTTTTGCAGATTTTTAGACAAACATAAATTTGGCCAGCGATCTCTATGCTGTCTTTCATTTGACATTGAACTTGTACTCGTAACCTTGAAAAATATTTGGATCACACGGGCTCAGACTCACAGAACGGATTAGAAAATCAATAAAGCAGGTTACTTACCCTCCAGTAATCTATGAAATGAATAGCTCTGAGAGTCTTCTCAGGGATGACCAAGGGTCGCTCTTCACACAGGATCATGACTAAACCACGTCAGGAAAGCCATTGTGGTTTTGGGATTCCTTTGGTTGCAGGTGCCAGAAGGAAATCCAAGTCAAACGGACTTTGATAAAAGAAAGGTGTGGAGGGATTTATAGGTCCACTCACTGGAAAGTGTGAGTGTGAACAAGGTTCCAGAGGCTCCTCAGAACGAGGTCTCTCTCTTGCAGGTGTTTCTTGGGACTGCTTTGCTGTTGCCAAGCTGTAACCCGTGGCAGACAATGGCCACCCCCGGTGTGGCTGTTTCAGCCACTGGCTTGGCCACTCCAGTACAGGCAGCTTCTCTCCTCAGCAGTTCCCTCCAGCCCAAGTTCCAGGCTGGATTTTCTAGGGTCCGAGCCCTGTCCTAAAGCAATCATTGTAGCCAAGGGGATGGAAGGTGAGGATTGGCCAGAGCTGGTCTCTGGACGCCTGCCCCTCAGAGCCAGAGCCAGTGTCAAGGTTTTCTTAGCAGAAGCCAGGGAGAATATATGCTGGGCAGGCTATGCCCACAGCCACAGACCACATTTTTTTCCTCCCCACAAATTTATCTGAGTGACTCCCTCTTCCAGAAGACTGTGGGGTCATCATACATTTTCCTGTAAGCTGCTCCAAATACATTTTTTGCATATTTTGGGGGGAGGGGAGTTCAGTTTTTCTCAATTTTCTATCTTAAGAAATGAACAGTTTGCCATTTCCCAATTTTTTAAATGAAATTTTATGTATTTGCACATTTGTCCTCTTCTCCCAACCCAAATGTCATTGCTTAAATCGTTGTATCTATCTCTGTATAGCTATAGCTATGTTTATACACACACTGTCACACAGAGGACAGAATTATGTATCAGAGCTCAGAGGATGTGTGGTTGGAAACTGAGAGTAGGAGTGAAATCTGTCAGGAGACCGTGTGACCGGATCGCCCCCCTCCCCGTGTCTGGTCTGCCCCCAGAGAGTCGTGTGAGTGTGTGGCAATTGTTGCTGGCTTCTTGGGCCTGTCTTATTTCAATATATTCTTCAAAGCAGTGGTTACTTTTCAGAAAGGCGCAAAGAATTGAGAGGAGGCTGGTTGTGGGGGAGTTCCGAAGGCAGCTGAAAACCAGTTGTGTGAAAACAAAGTTTAGTCTGGAGGAAAGAGAAATCGAGAAGCAGTGACTGGCTGTAAATTCCTGAAGGGCTTGCCAGCGACAGGAGTAGACGTGCCTAATATTCCAGTCCATGGGTGTGATCAGGGTAGGAACGAACTTTCTACCCTTCAGAGCATTCTAGTAGTGGAATGAGCTGCCCCACAAAGCATCAGATGCACGGCCAGCAGAGACCACAGGGTGTGCTGTGGTGTGTGGGGCCGGGAGCCTCCGGGATCTTGGACTAAATGGGCCTGAATCCCCCATCTCCAAGATTCTATGTGTACATGTCCGGGAGTGACGGGCAGGAGGAGGACTTGTAAGACAATGAAATCAGAAAATAAAATGGTAGAGACTTATTTCACCTCAGAGAGCCGCAGATAACCCAGGTGTGGACAATAGGCAGACCAAGGTCACAACTCCACTTTGCTCCCCAGGTTGACCTCCTCTGTGGCCGAGCACAAGCGTGCAGTGAGGCCCAAGCGTCGGGTCCAGGCTTCCAAAAACCCCTTGAAAATGCTGGCAGCCAGAGAAGACCTCCTTCAGGAATACACGGAGCAGAGACTAAACGTTGCCTTTATGGAGTCGAAGCGGATGAAAGTAGAAAAGAGTGAGTATGTGGAACCACTGCTCTGCCTCTCTGTTGGTGTCTGGCGATTAGGTGATTTTAATCTTTTTCTGCCTTGCCGGGGCCAGTCATGTGCTCAAAAGACACTCATCAAATAAAAATGAGTAAGTTTGCACACACGTACATGCACACCTGCCTGGAAATGGAAAGGCTTTTCGCAGAACTTCTTAGAGCGTGGAGTGTCTATTCACTACATTAACTTATTTTCTTATTTTTTAAAAAGATTTTATTTATTTATGGGACAAAGAGCACTCTGGCAGAGGGAGAGAGAAAAGCAGGCTCCCCGCTGAGCAGGGAGCTTGGTGCGGGGCTCCATCCCAGAACCCTGAGATCATGACCTGAGCCAAAGGTGGACGCTTAACCCACTGAGCCACACAGGCGCCCCGTATTTAAGTTATTCTGTTTTGCTGTTTTCTGTTCAAGAGATTGGAGGAGAAGGGTTTTGTAGTTCAACCCATTTTCAGCTCCGTAGAGCCCAAACACAGTAATTCCCCACTTAATCTTGTTTGAGAGCAAATCATTAGATCTCTCATGAGAAAATGAGAAAATTCTCATGAGAAAATGTCCCAAATGGCTGCTTTTCCTAATCCTAGATTTTCATATTACTAATTAATGCATAAACAAATGATTTCCAAATTGCGTTTAACAGGAGCCTTGGAAATTGGGGATGTGGATTGGGTAGTGTTGGGGCTTTGGGGTAGAGCTGGTGAGTAAGAGTGAGGCAGTGGCTCTGTGTCCTGTGTCCCACTTCTGGCTCAGCTGCTCTGCTGTCCTCAGCCTGATGAGGTAGGGTCCCTTGTTCTGAAACAGTGGTTTTCTTAGTGGAGGTAATTTGGGCATACACCATTTGCAGATTGAATAGTCTTGCTATAATTTGTATTTTCCTTTAGCACTCGTAAACCTACTTCTGAAAGTTTTTCTTAGAAATACAGTATTTACATGAAGTAGTTGGTCTTTTCATTATAACTGATTAACTAAGAAGATATTTCAAAACCTCTGTGCCATACGAATTGTCAAGTAGGATAAGACCTTAATCCCGGCAAAATAATTTTCTCAATTTCTCCTAGCCTAGACATTTTTAAAAAAATGAGCAGTTGAAGAAATAAAGGCTTCTTGGCACAAATTTTAGGTATTTTTCCTCTATCTCCACGTTCGGGGGCTTGGGAGTCGGCACGTACACATTTGTTGGTGTCTGAGGGCAGAAGACCTTAAGGGATTATCTAGTTGATCACTTTGCCTCCAGGAAAAAGATTAGGACTAACCCATCCCTACAAGAGTGCCTGCTTTTCTACATATAAAGACTTTGTTGAAAGATACCTCCTAGCCTTCCTTGTGAGTGTGTTGGCATTAACATCCAAACATTGTTAGGAATTACATTCGCTTTCCGTGGAATTGCGACATGTGAGTCCAGCTCCTGATTTTGTAGCAAAAGAGCTGGTCCACACTGTCCCTCGATTCTTGCCCCCCTGCAAGGTAAGGTGTGATGTGTGTCCGCAAGCAGCTTGTACTTTGAGGACAGAGTTAAATCCTGAGTACAGGAGCTCAGCCCTGTACCGCCTCGTCACCCAAACCTGAGGATGGTCTCCCCCTCGGGATTAACCTGAGAAAAAGCTAGTCGATCATGAATCTCTGATGGCAAATGTCATTTCACCAGCCCGTCTTGCTCCCCCTTCCCCACTGTTTCCCCCACTGTTTCCTTATTCAACCCTCCCAGTGTCTGCCAACTCCAACTTCTCCGAAGTCACTCTGGCAGGTTTAGCCAGTAAAGAAAACTTCAGCAACATCAGCCTGCGGAGCGTCAATCTGACCGAACAGAATTCCAACAACAGCGCGGTGCCCTACAAGAAGCTGATGCTCCTACAGATTAAAGGTACTTAGGAGCTGTGGGGAGGAACCACGCACAGAGCAGGGGTTTGAGTCTGGTAACACCGGGAGGCCTGACCTTCAGGGGGAGGGAGCGCATGCTCTTTGAGAACCTACTGTGGGCAGAGCACTGTGCTACCTCCAGTCACCTAAGCTTCACAAAATCCCATGAGGTGGCAGATGTGATGCCCACTGAGGCTTGGTGTGGTTAGTGATGCACCTGAGGTCACAGCGGCTGTTTGAGTGGCAGAGGTGGATTTGCAGCCAGGTCTCTCCCATTCCAGAAGCTCAGCTTCTGCTGCCGCTTCCCCTTGCCCTCTGAGCCCCGTCACCACGCTGTCCTGTAGTTCCAGCAGTCCCGGAAGTCTTCGTGGGGCCTGTCTCCACTCAGTTATCCTCGCTGAGGTGAGCAAGGTTAGTGTGGGCCAGAGGCAGAGATGCAAGTTCTTGGAGAGGGAATCCAGGGAAAGCAGAGGCAACTGAAGCCGACCTAGATTTCCACTCCAGCACCCCCTTTGTCAAGAGCACAGGAGACGACCAGAGAGACTGGGCTGTGAGGAGAGACTTCGCTGCCTCCGAGTGGCAATCCCAGAGTAATAATGAAGAGGAGGCTGGTGGAATATCCTTTACGGAGGGTGTCCCGTGTGTTTCTTCGTGACCACTGGCCTTTTTAGTGCATTTGGAGGACTAGTGATGAGTGCAATTAACAAATGTCTGGTCCCAAGTTCTGACCCAGAAATGACACTATCAGTATGACCCTGGAAAGTCCTAAATCAACAGTCATTTAGGAGATGGTGTGGAAAGCAGCACAAAGCAGTTCTTCCCTCCAAGCTGATTGCCTCTAAGACTGCCCTGGGTTTAGCGTGCCAACCCCAGGAAGATGATGCTTGGGAAGGTAGGGCCTCGTCTGCAGTGTGGCTGGCCTGGGTTATGAAATGCAGGAGGTAGGCTCAGCGCAGAGAAGGGGGTTGGGGGGGAGTTGAACGGGAAAAAGGAGCACGTTTGCTAACTTTCCTGGAGGAGGGAACTTAATGAATCCACACACACACGTGCTGTAAAAGGACTCCAGTGGCAGTCATAAGACTCATGATGACATATAGGAAAGCACTAACACGGGAGAGTAATCTAGAAGGCCGTCACTAGAAACCCCCCTTCTACCATTCTTTGTCATGGAGCTGGTGTTGGTAGATGAGAATCTTTAGAACTTCAAGAGTCTGTAGCAGGGGTGCTTCCTGGCCCTTCCTGTGGCTTGGAGAGTTCTCCTCTCTGGCAAGATGGCGACTCTTTGCCTCCTGCCTTACAGGAAGAAGACATGTGCAGACCAGACTGGTTGAACCTCGAGCTTCGTCCCTCAACAGTGGGGACTGCTTCCTCCTGCTCTCTCCCCATTACTGTTTCGTGTGGGTAGGAGAGTTTGCAAATGTCATAGAAAAGGCAAAGGTTGGTATCTGAAAAATAAGAAATGTTGAGTTAAACACCACCTTTATGCACCGATAGAATGTTCTACCAGTTGCTAGGTCTTTACAAGGCTTCTCAAATGCCAAATGTTTCATGCAAGTGAGAAGGGAGAGAGGCAGTATTTCTTTGCTGAATGTCTCTCAAACACGCATTCATTAGGTGCTTGAGTGGGAAGTTTTAGAAGGATTATGACCCATCCCACCAGTTTTTAACTCCTATTCCACTCCTGTGTGAAAAAGGAACTGGCACATCCCTTCAAAGCCATTTATCCCAGGTAACTATGAAATGCTGCTACCGGCTTATTGAATAAAAACTTCATGGGCAAAAGCCCAGAGAATGGGTATTTTTCCAAAACTTCAGAGTGACCTATTGTATTTAAAAATAAAGAATGGTTGCTCTAGAGAGTTGTGCCCCCTGGTCCTTGAGTTCCATTCTCCTGACCTTGCTGAAAATACCCAAGACCCGGTGCCTGCAGCCCCTGTGGTCACATGGTCTCCCCTGCAGACCCGCCATTTTTGCCTCCAGCTTCAGTATGCACCACTCTGCCTCACCACAGGCTTGTCTATCTAGGTAATTGTGCTCCTCCCTTTTTCCAGGCCTCAGAACTGGCAAGTTTAATTCAGACGAAGAGGGAACTTGGTTGTAGAGCTACCTATGTCCAGACTATCGAAGAAGGAATTAATACACACACTCATGCGGCCAAAGACTTCTGGAAGCTTCTGGGCGGCCAAAGTAGTTACCAGTGTAAGAGTTTACTGTATTTTCAGAGCCTTGCGAGGCTTTTCTAATTCCCTACTTACTTCTTCTAAACCGGCCACTTTTCAGTGTAAAATGTCATCCTGTCTTCTTGTTCTCATCCCAAAGCTGCTGGAGACCCAAAAGAAGATGAACTTTATGAAACAGCCATAATTGAAACAAACTGCATTTACCGTCTGATGGACGACAAACTTGTCCCTGATGACGACTACTGGGGGAAGATTCCCAAGTGCTCCCTTCTGCAGTCAAAAGAGGTACAGTGTGTGGGCACCATCCTCGCCAAGAGAGCGCTTGGCACGGGGTTGCCCAATAACACCCATGCCACGTGCTGGAGAAACGCTGGCTGGCGTTCGTGCCTGGTGTGGAACAGTGACATATTTTTACAGGATATTTACTTGTGAATGCAAACCATCACTCCATCTTAAATACGAGGATCGAATTCAAAAAAAATTTTTTTAAAGATTTTATTTATTTATTTGACATAGAAAGACACAGTGAGAGAGGAACACAAGCAGGGGCAGAGGGAGAGGGAGAAACAGGCTTCCCACCGAGCAGGGAGCCCGATGTGGGACTTGATCCCAGAATGCTGGGATCACGACCTGAGCTGACGCTCAATGACTGAGCCACCCAGGTGCCCCCAGAATTCAGAACATTGTTCAGAGGAGTCATGGGTCATTGAAGGCTTTCTGTTTTAGGCAAAATGTAAAAATTTTTTTTTATTTTTGGGGAGGATTTTTATTGTATTCTTTTTCTTATCTGTATGAGGTAGTGGATGTCAACTGAACTAAATTGTGGTAATCATTTCACAGTACATGTAAATCAAGTCATTGTGCCTTCTGCCTTACACTTATATGGTGCTGTGTGCGAGTATATATCAATATAACCAGGGAATAAGATATAAATACTCCTTAGCCCTATCTCTTGATTTTCTATAAACAAAGTTTCAGGAATAATAGATGCATGTTTATACAATTTGGGTTTATCAAGAATACTAGCTTTTTTCTCCTATATCAGTAAGTATTTACTAATCATATACACTGTCATTACCATCGTCTTGTGAAAAAAGTGGAAGACACGAAAGAACCTTAAATTTCATTGGGTAGAGGAGTATTAGAAAGAACGTCTTCCAGAGCTAGGTGGATTGTATGACACCTGTGGGCATTTAAATGGAAAAACAAAATCACAGAGAAGAAATAATCAGGAGTAATTTTATTTTATTTTTTTTTAAAGATTTTATTTATTTATTTGACAGACAGAGATCACAGGCAGGCAGAGAGGCAGGCAGAGAGAGGAAGGGAAGCAGGCTCCCCGCTGAGCAGAGAGCCCGATGTGGGGCTCGATCCCAGGACCCTGGGATCATGACCTGAGCCGAAGGCAGAGGCTTTAACCTGCTGAGCCACCCAGGCGCCCCTCAGGAGTAATTTTAAAGGGAAGGTGCAGTTGAGCCGCGCTGGGAGTTGAGTAGGATTTGGATTGCCGGATAGGAAGGAAGAAATTATTCTAGGATGAAAGAGTCAGATAAACCAAAGGTATGGAAATAAGAAATGGCATTACATTCATGTGTTCACTCAGCAAACACTTCCTAAGGTCCTGTAAATGTCAGTACAGTATGGTCTCTGCCCTGGAGGGTGCTGGAACTGTACAGAGGGGAGACCGCCTCACTGGTCCTCAGGGTCTAGCATTTAAGAAGTGGCCACTGTATATGCTCAGTGAATGAAAGAGCAGGGGGACAGGGAAGAAGAAGGGAAAGAAGGCAGGTACGAAAATGCAGTTAAATAACTTGCCATGGAAGCTGGTGAGTTCAGAACAAGACGGAAATCAGAGCCACGGGCCAGAGGCCAGCGTGGCAGGGCAGTGCCAGCTGTCACCCCATCAGACTTGGTTAGTGCACACCTCATTCAACCGGAGCAGGGCTCTGAAGTTAACCTGTTGCTCTCTGCGGCCTTTCCAGGTACTGGTGTTCGACTTCGGTAGTGAAGTGTACGTGTGGCACGGAAAAGAAGTCACATTAGCACAACGGAAAATAGCTTTTCAGCTGGCAAAGCACTTATGGAATGGAACCTTTGACTATGAGAACTGTGACATCAACCCGTTGGATCCTGGAGAATGCAACCCGCTTATTCCCAGGTATTTCCGTCAGCCGCCAGTGGTGTGGGAGATCAAGCAGGTTCCCTCAGCAGGCCTGAGTTCCCCGCATGCTCACCTGCTGTCACTCTTCCTAGGGTTTCCTTTTCATCACTGACTGCAGGCAGTACCCTGAATACTCACAAAAAGAGTATTTCTTTAGTTTTTGCCTAACTGATGCGGAAATATGGATGCCATCATCTTCCCGATGCTGTGTTCAGTCTCCTTTCTTGAGGTGAACAAATTGTTCCCACCTGCGGCCTCCCAGGGGCTGTCCTGGCAGATGAGTAGCCATTGTTGAAACAAATTACATGCAGATCTGAAAAGGCTCCGGGGCCTGGAATTCCGCCATCGATCCGAAGGGGCAAAAGCGACATATTTCCTTCTCATTTCACGCCTCCTTAGCATAGCTCTCAAAGTCCAGGATTTACCATTTATTTGGCAGTAGATGACGTCTGTGCCTTTTGGGGGATAGGGAGTGAGAGGGAGGATATTGTATTGAAATCATTGTAACTTTAATATTTCCGACTGGGAGTAGATGAGTGAGCACCTAACCTGGGGCTTCTCAGCACATCCCAGATCAGAATCACCTGAGAAGCTTTAAAAAAAATGCATGTGCCAGGCCCAGCCCCAGCACCGGCCCCTGGGATGTATTCTCAATTCGTGTGCAGTAGGGCTTTGAGTCCATGTGTCTTAAGAGCCTCCTCGGGGCTCCTCCTAAGGGGCAGCCAAGAGTAAGCCCTGAGCCCCTCCTACCCGATGAGGGGCCTGAAGCACTGAGGTGTCCAGACTTAGCCCACTTCCAACATGGAAGTCAGCATGGAGGTAGACGCTCGTGTGCTCCTGCCCCCCTGCCCCCGCCACCCACTGCCTCTCGTGCTTGCTTGACTCCCAGCATAAAAAATCATTGTCTAAAGCTGAAAGCAAGCGCTCTGCCGGTAGGCATCCTAGCAAACTCTGCAGAGTAAAATTTATATGAAGGATGATCATTCAAACATTTGCCGTGAAAGACTCCAGCCTCACAAGGGAGCCCTGAATTTTCCAGAGTTGCTGGTACCTGGTTCCCAGAGTCCTGCAAGAGTACGAGGTGGGAGCATGTGTGTACCATGCTGTCCCCCAGCAGTCTCCCTAGGGGCCAGCAGCCTCCTTGATGGGCCCTAGCTGTGACGTCAGAAGCCGAGTCCTGACGAAACAGGAAGTGACGGAGCATGGGCCCCAGTGAGCGTTGCTAGGCAGTCTTGTGGGGTATAGCGTCCCAGTCTCTGTTCACAACCAAAGACTGATGTGGAAGGATGAACAGTGCTCTCCTGAACCGTCTTCAGCTACCACGTCCTTGACTTTACCAGGATTTGGAGCCGTTTCAAGCTCTGCGGTCCTGAGGCAGGACCAGGCCTCCAGGTTGGGCTGTGCCACTTCCTTTTCTGAGTACTTATGCTCCCCCGGGGCCACTGTCATGTCTGGTGTCCTAGAAATAAATATGCAGAAATTCTTTTAATGATCTATGAAAGTATGCTCCTTTTAGTAACGGGAGAATTTCATCTGTTCCTGGACGCCAGAGAGCTTCATCGTAACGTGACTTAACAGAGAATTCAGGGCCTCCCTCCCATCTACCCATTAAAGTGACAGACACATGGTGAGCATCTGCTGGGGACTCTGAGGGCATGTGGCTCCTGCCTTCTCCTGGCTCCCAGGCTAGTGCTCCACCCTCAGCGGGTCCCAGATACAACAATTTGCTAGAAAAGTCCAGTCCTGACGGGGTTCACATCCCACTCAGGCACCTCAACTCCACGCACACAAAGTTTTGCCAGGCTTCAGGCTGAAATACTAAAATATCACTTACCTGACCACACGAACCACTCATTCTCCATACCACTAATGGATTCTGAGTTGTTTTCAGTAGCCACGTGTATCTGTTTTCGGTCCCTTTCCTTTGTTTACACGTGGCTTAATCTCTGGTCTTTTCCTGTGTCCTCCCCCTCCCACCCACCCTTGCAGGAAAGGACAGGGGCGACCGGATTGGGCAATATTCGGGAGACTTACAGAACACAATGAGACAATTTTGTTCAAAGAGAAGTTCCTTGACTGGACTGAACTGAAGAGACCTAATGAGAAGAGCGCCAGCGAACTTGCCCAGCCAAAGGTAGTTTTGGGAAGCAAGTCTCAAACCTCAGGCTTTGTTCGAGGTCCCAGCAGAAGAGGCCTGGATGCTAAAAGCCTTCCTAGGGTTTCTGGGAGACCAGAGAACGGGTTTCCCGTTATAGTCTATCTCGCCAAGGCGGAGTAGGCCTGCCTGTGCCTCCGGGGTTTCCGGGCGACCCCTTCAGTGTTGTGGGGGGCTATTTAGGACTCCAGAGCCCTACCCTAAAATGCAGTGAAATGCCGAGACAGGGCTGGAAAGCCTTTTCTGCTGTCCCACTAATAGGAGAACAGCAGTGAATGTCACAAGAAGTGGCATTAGAAACAGGCCTCTGAACCAGTGTCCTTCCGTTCCCTTGTAGGAAGATCCTAGGGCCGAAGCCAAGCCGTACGATGTGGCGCTGATGGTGCCGGTGCCCCAGGCGACAGCGGGCACAGTGCTGGACGGGGTGAACGTGGGTCGCGGCTACGGCCTGGTGGAAGGCGACGACAGGAGGCAGTTTGAGATCACCAGCGTGTCTGTGGATGTCTGGCACATCCTGGAGTTCGACTACAGCAGGCTTCCCAAACAGAGCATCGGGCAGTTCCACGAGGGGGACGCCTATGTGGTCAAGTGGAAGTACATGGTGAGCACCGCAGGTTAGTGAGCACTTCCGTTTTCTCCATGCCGACCTGGGAGGCTTGGGGGTGGCAGCGAGCCCATCTTCGAGCCCTGTCCCTGAGCCCTGTCCCCGTGCGCGCTGCCTTTCCCTCAGGCGCGCGGACAGTGCGCCAGTCTGATGGTTTGCTCTGAGGACCATTCGGTCAACGTTGAAGATGGGTTCCAATGAGCCAGTGTTGCTAATGAATGTCATGGTTTCCTCGAGAAGTTAAATGTGCGCGTTAAGGTTTCTCTGCTCCCCTCACTCCCTCCCCAACTCCGTCCCCAGATGTTCTCTAGGAAAGTGGTGATTTGCCTCCAAATGATACTTAACATGTGGCTGTCTGCTGCCTAGATTAAAGGCTTGTGAAGCGTATCCGGATGGCTTAGAACTGGAACCACATGGTGTGGTAACGCACCAGAGATTGATGAGAACTAAAAGGAGCTATTTCCTCTGAGGCTGAGAGCACCAATGCGCTCTGGGGATCTGGTAGAAGAAATACATAGTCCAGCTGCTCATGGTTCCTGTCAGTGAAACACTCGAGGAAAACACTCAATTGTATGCTTGGCACGAGAGGCAGTGAGTGGGGAGAGCCGGTGGACTTTGGAGGGAGAATCCCTGTTCCCTGCCAAGAAGTAGCCCGTTCTCGGCACCGTTTAGGAGTTTGTCACAGCTTTGTGGTCTCGAGACTCAACTCTCGAGAGTTCACTCACCTCTCAGACTGCCTCTTTGCTGTCCAGATATGGCTCCCCCAGGGCTCCAGGGGGGTGGAGGCCGTGGTCTGCTGATCAGACCCCCGTAGACTCAAGACCCATTTATTTCTTTCCTAATTCAGTCTGTTAATCACTGATGGCATGTACTGATCACCTAATCTCTCTTCTGGGTATAAGACATATATTTTAAGGGGAAGTAAAGACGTCAGGCCCTACCTTCTAAACGCATATGGCATAAATAACTGTAAGGCAAGTTTGGGGAGAAGCAGCTGTGTCATGCCATGGGAGGAGAGCTGGGTTCCCCGAGGCCAGCTCTGTGGGAGGCCCGTGGCTGGGCATCACCTGGTGGGACAGGAGGCCGTGCCCAGAGCTGTCTGGGTATGCCCCGGTCCTGGAGGCCCACCTGGTTCACGAGGCACAGCACTGGTGGCTTTGCTGCGCACCCTGGCTGAGTGCCTCCCCAGGCTCCGTGCGATGTACCCTGGTGTTATGCTGATCGCTCAGTGAGAAAGAGGACACACGCTTAAGTCACCTGCCCAAAGTCACACAGCAAGTAGAGAGCAGGTTAGGACCCTAAGACTGCCTTTCCCATTTGTAAGGAGGCCCTGGGGCTTGGAAGAAAGGCCACAGGCCCAGGGGCCATACAGCCCAGCTCCGCGTCTTCTCTTAGGCCCCACATACCAGCTCTGCAAGGTGGGTAAAGTGACTTAGCCTGTCCGAGCATCGGTGTTCTCACCTAGAAAACCAGCTCACAGATTATTATAATCTGGCACGGATGATATTTAGCATGGGCCCGGCACAGGAATAATCACCACCGATGTCCTGAGCAACAAAAGCAAAATCACTGTAAATCAGGTGACTCTAAGAGTTAGGAGGCCTTCACAGCCTATTCTCTTGGAGGCCCCTAAGAAATAATGACTTGGTGCAGGCAGATACTTTCTTCTATATTTCCTCCCGGTATACTCAACGCACATCTCACAGCCAGCTCTGGCAGCATCTCCACAGCCACAACTCTGGACAAGTCCATCTGCAGAGCATTAAGTCAGAGCAGGGAGCATTGAGATTTCCAGACGGTCCCTCTGGGAGCAGAGAAGCATAGCCCAGTGACATTAACAGTGGCCCCTGGGGGACTGCGGTCCAGCCCCTCATCACTCGTACCCCATAAGGGCCACACCTGCAAACAGGACTGAACTTGGAGCTTGGGAAGCTCTTCTGGGACGGGGTCAGCAGAAACGAGAGGCTGTAGAGGCAGGACAGCTGTCCTCCGGGTGGACGCCAGCCAGCCTGCACAGGCCCACAGAGAAGCTCCTTGGGGGAGTGAACTGTGTGCTCCAGGAAAGGGAGACCGAAGGCCTTGGTGGGGTTGGTCCTGCCCTGTAACCAGGCCAGGCAGCTGGGGAGTGTGATACAGGCCGAGCTACCCTGAGTAGGTGAGCAGTAAATGGGACTCTGCCGCGAGACCACCTGACCAGGAGAAGTCCTTGATGTTCTTTGTGTCTTCCGTTACTCCTAAACGAAACTCCTGGTCACAAACTGACTCTAGGAAGGATTTTGAGGCGTGAGACAGTGACACTTTAAGTCAGCCACCTGGTCAAGGCTATAAAGGTTACAGTCCGTCATGTCTTACTGCTCAAAGCTGAGTCTCTACTTGGCTAAGATTAAAAATGAATGAACTAAAAATTGTGTGTAGGATGAAATTTGGGTATCTTGACAAAAACTCCAAGGAAAAGTACTGAACACTATTATGAAACATTTTAAGAAAATACTTCTGTTTTAGGTGTGGATACTGAAGTCCACATTAAGATGGTAGGTGGTAAAACACTGATTCTTACTGAAACCTGAGTATATATTTACACAATGTATTTAAGTGGTAACAAATTTCAAGATATGTCTCAACTTCTGGGACTTGTTTTAAGCATATCTTTCCCCAGCTGACAGGACTAATTTTCACTGCTTTGAAGGGTGGGATTGCTAATCAAAGGCAAAATTTTGTTCCTATCTAAAGTAGCAGAAATTTCAAAGGAGTGCCTTCCAAAATAACTGTGAAAATGCCTGACCTGTTCATTGATAGTTTCTCTTTTATTTTGTCCACTTAGAAATACATGGGCTTGACCAGTTCAGGTCCACAAAAGATGGCACTAAAGGCCATGCTTAGTCAAAGTGCTATAAGGAGTATTATAATCATTTATGAAAACGGTTTATAGAGTGCTTTGCTCAAAGGCCAAAAAATCAAATAAATATGGCCCTGGTCTCTTAAGAACTTAAGATAAATGAGCTTTCTTCTTACCTTCAAATTCCAAGACAGCTGTGATGTTATAAATGGGTTCGGAGGTGAGAAAAATTGAGTTCATACAGAAACAGAGAATCCAGTTATCATCTTTAATTTTCAACAAGCGTGGGGGCTATAACTGTTTTCTCCCCTGTGGACCACCACTATCTGGGACCACCCAGGCAGGCATTTGAGGTAACAGCTTAGTCTCCTGACCTCATTCATTCCAGAATGGTCTGCCTGCAGGTCCTGTCATCTCGTCATTGGTCACCTTCTTAGAGAGGCCTTTCCTCAATAGGGAATCTCATCAGTATTCACCCTGCCCTGGGTCACGTACCCTTATCTGTCTTCCTCAGAGCACTTGGGACTCTCTGAAACTGTCTTGCTCATCTTTTGGTCAGAATGAAAGCCAGGGGGTTGATGTGTCTTGCTTATCCTGGTATTGTGAAGAGGCCCAGGCCCTCTGTAGGTGCTCAGTGACTATCTGCTGAATGAATGAATGAATGAATGAATGAGAGGAGTCTGGAGTGCAGTATAAACCTAAAAGTAGTGAGGCGAGGTCTGAAATACGGCCATTTTAAAACGACCACTTGACCAGTGAACTTTCCACGCCTGCTCTTCATGAGATCTGTGTCCGGGGTGCTGGTAATGTTGACCAATGTGCCTGGGAGGTGCCGGACAGTAAGGACAGCAGGCACTCCATCCTGGCTGCTGTCCTGGGGACAGATACAACTGAAATCCCAGATTCGTTTATGGAAGTGATATGTCAGCAATAGAGCTCTTCCATTTCTGACAGAACTTGGAAACTTCAGAGTGGTTTTTTTTTTTTTTTAACTTGAATCATTTTCACAGACTAAATTTTTCCCTTTGTGCTTAAAGCTGGCCCAGCTGTTGTTTTTAATATCTTTTCTCTACTGGCTAATCTTATGCCAAAAAAAATGGCATGATATGGAAAATGCATTTGTGTTTTTGGGAGGCCTGCTCTGGCAGCTGCCATTTTTTTCTGTCACACACTTGGAGTGATCTGCCTTCCTGTAGGATGACAGGTGTTTTTCTCAGGGTATCAAGAAGGCGAGATCATTTTTTTCTCCAGTTTGGAGGTTTGGGATCAGTTAACTAGAAGAAAGATGGTTTTTCTCCTCAGCCCTGTGGCCAAAAGCTTTTTCTTCACAGTTTGTCCTCACGGAGCCTGGAGAAGAAAGCCATATATTTGCTCTTCTTTTGGCTTCTCAGCTGTCTACCTCACCCTCTTGGTTTCTGTATGTTTGCAGTGGGAAGTCGACAAAAGGGAGAGCACTCAGTACGGGTGGCTGGCAAGGAGAAGTGTGTCTACTTCTTCTGGCAAGGCCGGCAGTCGACCGTGAGTGAGAAGGGCACGTCGGCTCTGATGACCGTGGAGCTGGATGAGGAGAGGGGTGCCCAGGTAAGTTCTAGAAAGTGGCTGCCCCCATGGAGGAGAGTCTTGGCCTTCCTGGAGTGCTCCAGGGGGGTGTGGCCTGGTCCCCTGAAGAGCCAGTCCAGTGAACAAAGACAGCATCACACAAGCGACGTTTAGTCCTGGCCGGCTTCCCTAGATTCCAGGCTGGGCTTCCGTAATCATGTCGCCACCGCCTGGCCAGCAGTCATGTGCTCTTATACGAGATCTATCTGCAAACAGTAAATCCACAAATCAAGTACAGAGTGACAATGAGTGGTGGGTTTGTTTGTTTTTAAGTTTCCACTTAACTAATACTCAAGGAATTGTAAACAGAACAAAGAGATACTATTTCCCACTTCTAAAACTGGTAGAGATTTTGTGAAGAATGGATCCAGGGCAGGTAAGGATTCAGCGGGACGCTTCCATTGGGAAGGATAGCTTGAAACAGCCATCCTGAAAGCAGGTTGGCTCAGGAACCTTAAAATTCTCATAAACTTTGATCACTTTTTCCACTTACACAGATCTATCCTAAGGAAATATCAGAGATTAACATGAAAATTAGTATTGCCATCATCTGCATTCCTCACAGCAGCCTGAGTGATGTTTCTGGATCACGTCAGATCATGTCATTCCCTTTTCCTCCATCACACATGGACTGCAGTCAAAGCATTCTCCTGGTGGTTTGCTAGCACCCTTGTGTCTGGTCCTGCACACCTCTCCCACATCACCCCTCACCCTCACCATGGCCAGGGCTGCTCTAGCCTTTTTTTTGCCATTCCCTACCCTAGGGCCTTTGTACAGTTTCCCCTTCCCACAATCTCCTCTGTATCCATAGTAACTTTCAACTTCAGAAGATTGATATCTGTTCAAATGTCACCTATTTTATCCAAATCCCTTCCTATTCTCTGTCCTGTTACTATGTTTTATAGCACTTGTATTACTACCACTACTTAAAACCACATAATCAATCTGTCATTTCGTTTACATTTTGAACACACTGTGTTTACTTATTTATTATCTGCCTTTCCCTACAAGCATGGAAGAGACAGTGCCTGCTATTCTTCCCCACCGCTATAACCTCAGGGCCTGTGTGATACCAGTGCCAAGACTTTGTAAACAGTTCTTTTTGATGTTCAGATTACCTTTGCATCAGGTCCCATCCTTTAGGAATTAAGAGTTGACTGTGGGGTCTTGAGAGAACATGATACCATGTGCAAATATCTTCACGGTCTTGGATGAGTAGTTAACAATAGCACAAGGGAAGAGAAAGATGAAGTTTTATCACCTTGGATGGGACTGGAGGAGATTATGCTGAGTGAAACAAGTCAAGCACAGAAAGTCAATTATCATATGGTTTCACTTACTTGTGGAACATAAGGAATAACATGGAGGACATTAGGAGAAAGAAAGGAAAAGTGAATTGGGGGAATCGGCGGGCGGGGGTGGGGGGACGAAGCACGAGAGTCTGTGGACTCTGAGAAACAAACTGAGGGTTTTGGAGGGGAGGAGTGGGGGGGTTGGGTGAGTCTGGTGGTGGGTATTAAGGAGGGCATGTGTTGCATGGAACACTGGGTGTGGTACATAAACAATGAATCTTGGAACACTAAACAAAAATTTAAAAAAAAGGGAAGAGAACAGGAATTTTCTCCAAAATAGATTAACACTCACTTAGCTTTTCCTGAGTCGCTTCTCTTCCCTAAAAGATATACCTTTCCTCCTGTAGACCATATAATAATTGCAAATAATTGTTAGAGACCACTGCATTTTAATTTATTCTTAATTATGGGTCATCTCAACTGCCTTTTTAATTTTCGTAAAGGCCAGGTTTTAATCATGCCTCTAAAATCCCCTTTAGAATTTTGAGTCTTAACCTCTCTAGTTTGAGCATCGCTTTTTTTTTTGTTTGTTTGTCAAGCCAGTGGATATAAGAACATTTCGGACCTATGAAACACTGCTGCAAAATGGCACTTAATTACGCAGAACAGGCCCTGAGATTTGCAGGTTAACAGTTGGTGGGGAAATGCTTCCTACCTTTCAGTGTGCCCCAATTGCCAGGCTCAATCAGCAGTCTCCCATTAAAGGAAACTGTCTAGCCGAAGCGAGAGTGGGTGAAGTCAACCCACACGTTTACTAAGCAGCTACCACTTGCTGGAACATGGTGGTTCACAGGCAAGGGGCAGGCTGTGGTCTGGGGTCAGCAGGCACATGGCTCCGTGAGTGGACTCTGGGCACGGTGGCAAAAGAGACCGTTCTTTCCCCTCCAAATTACTAAGTGATCAGTCGTTTTTTCCTTACTGAGAAGATTTTGTTTAAAATGTGTTTAAATCAGTCATGTCACATCTCCACCGTGGAATACCATTAAAACGTCAAAACACGTTTCAAGAGCCTTTGGTGACCGAAAAACATCAGCGAAGAAAATCAATATAAAATAACATAAAACAACAGTCCTATTTTTGCTTGGGAAAAACATATACCTGAAAAATACTTGGAAAGGAAAGCTAGGCTCTAGAATTTTTATGGTGGTTATCTGTAGATAGATAATAGTATTATCACTGGCTTTTGTTTGCACTTCTTGATATTTTCCAGATTTTCTACCATAGGCCTGTATTATTTTTAAGACTCTGAAAACCCAGTACGTGTTACTTATTGGAGTATGTTTACCTTGGAAGGTCCAGGTTCTGCAGGGAAAGGAGCCCCCCTGCTTTCTGCAATGTTTCCAAGGGGGGATGGTCGTGCACTCCGGGAGACGGGAAGAGGAGGAAGAAAATGCACAAAGTAAGTCACTTTACTAGTGGAATTAGATTTTTCTCCCTCTCCTGAAAGATATTTTTATATAAAAGTGTGGTCAGAGTAAATTTCCTTTTATATAGGTGTGTCTTTATTCCTGAAAGCCTCATAACGTTGGCCTTGCAAATGAGCTGTATGGGGAGCTCATAGTGGAAACCCAACCCTCCCCACCACCCCACCCCACCCCACCCCTAGTCCTGTGGACCTGTGGAGTTTCATCAGGATACGGCTTTGCATGTAGGAGGCTGGAAGATGATTCCACCTTAAACTGAATTCTCACAATGACTCTGTCTCTTCTTGAGAAGAAAGTTAAGTGGGTCGTCCATTATAAGTTGAGATTTTTGTTAGCCAACATCCCTGTCCCTCCCACAAAGAAAGGGCTTAGCGTCGATGCCAGTTATAGGATTTACTTGGGTATTTACAAATTTTGTAAAAATGGTCTTTCTACATCATAAACCGCTTCTAACTCCAAAAAGTTGTACCTTCTGGGCCACCAGGAAGCTGGCTGCTGCTCCCCCCGGGGAGGGGGGAGGGGGTGGTGTTGGCTGGTGACTGCCGAAGGAGGGCAGCTCTCCGGGCAGCACCCAGCCTAACTCTGTGCCGCTGGTGCCCCCTGCAGGCGAGTGGAGGCTGTACTGTGTGAGAGGAGAAGTGCCCATGGAAGGAAACTTGCTGGAAGTGGCCTGTCACTGTAGTAGCCTGAGGTCCAGGACTTCCATGGTTGTCCTCAACGTAAACAAAGCCCTCATTTACTTGTGGCACGGATGCAAAGCCCAAGCCCACACGAAGGAGGTTGGAAGGACTGCAGCAAATAAAATCAAAGAACAGTGAGTGTTGTGCATGAGGGCCTCTCCAGAAGGGGCTTCCCTGTGGGACATGGGCTGAGGCCGGAGGGGAGACCCACCCAGTAGAAGCCCCTAGATGCCCCGGTATACTTAAAGGGACTTCAGCAGGGGGGTAGTTCTGAACCTTGTCAGCTGCCTCTGACGTTCCAAACAGATGTACACACGACTCCCGTAATACTGCCAACGTGAGGGCTTCCCCAGAGTTCTGAGGCTTCCCCTGCCTCCATAAAAAGCAGAGGGAGGAGCGAGGGAAATGACCCCAATGAGAGCTTTAGTTTCTTTGTAGGTACAATTGAGCTTTTGAATGAAAAGCCTGGAGTCCTTTGTCACTTAAAAATGAGAGCAAATTTCAAACACCTTTTAGGGGTTCAGAGTTTTAGTTCTGCCAGAGCCGTGGAAAGTTCGAAAGCATGGAGCTGAAAAAGAGTTTGGGAGACCACAAGCATGCTCGACTCTAAAATGCCCCCTTTTCAGAGGACGACGGCATTTCTGCTTTCTGTAAGGCAGCCACCTGCCAGGGAGTGGTCGGCCTGCCTGGGCCATTTGTGGGTCACAGCACAGCAGGGGCTGGGTTTGGTTCCTGTCCCAGGCAGGCACCCACACTTGGGCAGCTGGCCGAGGAAGCACCCAGTCCAGGGCATTATGCGAGGGCCGCTGGGAAAGAGGGAAAACCGAAGCAGGAAGAGAAGGCCTGCAAGGGAGCGGGCTGTACTGTGCAGTCACCGTCTAGAGGAGGTGGCAGCCCATGCTCAATGGGCTCCACAGATAACCAGCGAGAGCCCAGCCTCGCCGCGGCATTCGGGGGTTGCCTAGTACTCCCTCAGGCTGAGCCCCGGGAGGACGGTGGTAACATCTGAACAGTAAAAGTGAAAAGTTTCCAGGGCCGCAGTGTGCCACCAAAGTGTCATCGGGTCCGGTCCATGCTCTGGGCCCCAGGGCAGTACGGCAGGTGGGGCGGGGAGGGCAGGTTTCCCTTGGGACTGCTCACAAAGCCAGCGCCCCGGGGAGCAGGCGGAGAGGAGCACGCAGACCAGTGCCCTTGCAGCGGGCAGCCTGCTGGGAAGCCACACGTCTCCTCTCCAGACCCCTTTGTGTGTACTGGGGAGCAGGGAGGGGCGATAACCAACCTTCAGTGAGGTAGTTAGAGTCCTCCCTGGTCCATCGGCTTTTCCCCCTTGGAGCCCTGAGAAAAAACAAAACAATGAACTCCCTCGCTCATTCACTCAGTAGGTGCCATTGAGCACGTACTTGGTGCCCAGCCCAGATTTAGGGACCAGGGACTTGGCTAGTGAACAAACCCAAGTCTCTGTCCCCATGAAGCTTATGTTCTAGCAGGAGAGGACAAGGAATAGTAAGTATGTATGTTGATATATCAAAATGTGTATCACTTTCATTACATCTTACATGTAATCATACATTCTTCTCTGAGGGCCCAGCCAGTCCTTCTCATCGCTCCCCAAGCCCACCTCCCCCACACTCATAAACCACAGAGCCCATTTTCATTTGTTAGGAAGAAATGATTTAGTTAGAAAGAAGAGAAACGGTGAACTTGTCTGTAGATTTAGTCTTGAATAATTTTGCACTGCCAACACTTCTAGGGCTTATTTAAACCAAAACAAAACAGGGGCACCTGGGTGGCTCAGTGGGTTAAAGCCTCTGCCTTCGGCTCAGGTCATGATCCCAGGGTCCTGGGATCGAGCCCCGCATCGGGCTCTCTGCTCAGCGGGGAGCCTGCTTCCTCCTCTCTCTCTGCCTGCCTCTCTGCCTACTTGTGATCTCTGTCAAATAAATAAATAAAATCTTAAAAAAAAAGATTTTATTTATTAATTTGACAGAGACACAGCGAGAGAGGGAACACAAGCAGGGGGAGTGGAAGAGGCAGAAGCAGGCATCCCGCTGAGCTAGGAGCCCGATGATTCGGGGCTCGATCCCAGGAGACTGGGATCATGACCTGAACAGAAGGCAGCCGCTTAAGGGCCTGAGCCACCCAGGTGCCCCTAAAATCTTTTTTTTAAGATTTTATTTATTACGGGGCGCCTGGGTGGCTCAGTGGATTAAACCTCTGCTTTCAGCTTGGGTCGTGATCTCAGGGTCCTGGGATCGAGCCCCACATCGGGCTCTCTGCTCAGCGGGGAGCCTGCTTCCTCCTCTCTCTCTGCCTGCCTCTCTGCCTACCTGTGATCTCTGTCAAATAAATAAATAAAATCTTTAAAAAAATAAGACAAAACAAAAATTAACAAAACAAAAAAACCTACTGGATTTTCTCCACGCAGATGTCCCCTGGAAGCAGGACTGCATAGTAGCAGCAAAGTGACAATACACGAGTGTGACGAGGGATCCGAGCCCCTGGGCTTCTGGGATGCTTTAGGAAGGAGAGATAGGAAAGCCTACGACTGCATGCTTCAAGGTAATAGAACATTCCGTTGCCTTCCGTCACTAATTTAGTCAATACATGTTTATTGAGCCTGTACTATGTACAACACCCAATGAATTAGACCTAGGCTAGGTCCTCATAGGCCTACAACACAATAAGGATGCTAAATAATATGCGAGACAGGTATAATGCCAAATAAAACTTTCTGTGGGTCATAAAAGAGGTAAGAATGAAGGAGGCTGACAGTTGAAAAAAGAGGTTCCGCCAGGAAAATTGTGCGTGGCCCCATAGAAGACGCGGCATTTAAACAGAGCCTTGAAGGTAAGCGTGACTTGAAGAGAGGGAAGAAGATTCCAGGAGACCAGTTGAGCAATGACACACCATGACCCTGTGGAACCAGATGCTTTTGGTTTGGCCAGCGTCCTCGGCGCTGGGACGTAATGGAGTTCAGCAGAGAGAAGTTGAAGAAGAAAGTCGGTCCCTTATAATCACCTCTCTCAAAGATAACCAGAATTAACATTTCTCTGTGTGATCCATACATATCTGTATTGAAGAAAATTTTGGATAGCACTATACAGTTTTATACCCTGATTTTCCCCTTTATTATGAACAATTTCTCAAGGTGTTCATTAGACTTCTGTGGCCACAGGGTATTCCATGAAGATGGTATATTGCCATTTTCTACTTAACCTCTTTTAGTTTGATTTTAGAGAGCGGTTTCCAATTTTTCCTCATTATACAACAAATGTGAATAAATTTAAAATAAGTATCTGCATTTATTTCTAGTTAATTTTCTAGATACAGAACTGCCCTGGTAAAGGTAGAAAAGCTTTAGAGTACATAGCAACAAGGTGCCCCAGGACATTGGCACCAAGTTCCCTTCACACCAGCAATATTATACATACAATATACATATACACGGACTGTGCATTTCCCAGTACAGTCAGAGACTCGGTAGGTCACCTTTTCCTCTTGGCCAAATTTAGTGGGGCAAACTGATATCTAAGCACTGTTTTAACTTAGTATTTTAAATTGGAAATACTGTGAAACGCTTTAATTTTTTTTAGTCATTTGTATTTCTACTTTGGTGAATGTTTTAGTTTTGCCTTTTGCACAATTTATTGAGATATTTATCTTTATTATATTCTTTTATATACTAAAGATAGTAGCAGGTTTCCATATTTCTCATGTTGTCACCTGCCTTTTCATTTTGTTTGGGTTTTTTTTTTCCTCTGGCAATGAAATTTTTCATTTTTGTACTGTCAACACATAACTCCCTTCTCTTTTCATTATTTCCTTTAGAATTATGATTAAAAAGGCCTTCCCACCTTCAAGTTCAGATAAATCTTACCATCCTTGCACTAATTTTTGGATTATTTTATGTTTTATGTTAATTCTCCAATCCATCTAGGATGTACTTCTGTGCATATTTTGGCTTCAGCTTTGTTCTCTTTTCTTTTCAAAGATCCTGGAAATTTTAACTTCACACCCCGCCTGTTCATCCTCAGCAGTTCCTCTGGTGATTTCGCAGCCACGGAATTCATGTACCCTGCCCGAGACCCCTCCGTGGTCAATTCCATGCCCTTCCTGCAGGAAGATCTTTATAGTGCCCCGCAGCCAGGTATGGCTGTGGAAGGGGACATCGCACCCTGAGCCGCAGAAGATGCACCTTCCAAAGAGCCTTTTTATTTGAAGCTCATATTTAGTAAACAGTTTTTATTTGCCAAGTACACTGGCAAGAAACTTTATATTACCTCATTTCATCCTCACACCTACCCCCAAAGGAAGGGCACATCAACCGTACATTACAGCCTAAGAAACTGAGACCCGGTTACCTAACTAACCCAAATAGGTTGGTTAAGAATAAGCTGAGAGGTCGGGAATCCATGCTGTTCTTCCAGGCTCCCCTCAGTCTTGTTGCTTCATGGTCTGCAATTGGCTATCAAGTTTTCATTCAAGACAGGAAGAAGGGGTAGGGAAAAGGGTAGGGATGGCCATGTCTCTCCCTTTTATCAGATAAAGCAAAAGCTTTCCCAGAAGCCCCGGCTGTCTTCTGCTTACATCCCATTGGCTAGAGCTCTGTCACATGACCACCCTCTGCTGCAAGGGAGCCTGGGAAAGTGAGTGGCCGGGGAGCAAGGGAGTCAGAGCACCAGCTGAGTCAGCCAAAGAACTGTGCCTGCCAAGGCTGGAGGGTAGGGCTGAGGTTCTTGCCCATGTCTTCTGATCCCGAGGTCAGGGCTGTATCTACTTGACCTCCACCTCAAGACAGAATCTCTGTGCTCTTGTTCTGGTTGGGACAGTCACCAGAGAGTGGGCTACATGCATGGACCCTCCAGCCCTCCTGCAGTCAAGTCTTGGGGCTTTTCACATGTGTCGTGTGCACAGCATCCTGAAACGCACATTAGGGAGGGACTTAGGTCAGGCAGACCTGGCAAGTGCGAGAGCCCCTTGGCCATATGGAGTAAGAGCGTGACCACTGGATGAGAAGAAGCGAGGAGGAAGAGGCAGAACACATCTACTTACAGCCTGCTTTTCTCGCAAAGAACCCTGAACTTGGTTGCCTACGATGCAGTCACACGTGGGGCATGGACATCAGTGACCTATAGAGCAAGGGAGATGCACTCTCCAGTTTGTAAACTACTCTCAGGAGATACACAGTGCTCACAAGCCCCCAAGTGGCACGTGAGCTGTTCCTCTGCTCAGCTCGCTGCCGGTTCCAGAAGGGCTGCTGGCAGGCCTGCAGCTGAAGAGGGACAGGAGAGAGGATGCGGGGAGAGGGAAGGGAAGAGGCCAGCATCACAGATGCCACCTCTGTGCCCAGAGGCTTGTTCTGATCAAATGTTCAAAGGGCTGAGGCATCACAAACACCCTTTGGCCCGTGCCAAAGGTATTCTGCCCGCCTGACAAAAGCAGTAGGGAGGGAAGACCTCCATTGGGTTTGGGGAAGAGTGAACTGGAAGCATCCGAGGAGGCCCTGATTGTCTGCTATGTCCTTGCCCTCGCAGCTCTTTTCCTGGTTGACAATCACCATGAGGTGTACCTCTGGCAAGGCTGGTGGCCCATTGAGAACAAGATCACCGGTTCAGCCCGCATTCGCTGGGCCTCCGACCGGAAGAGCGCCATGGAGACAGTTCTCCGGTACTGCAAAGGTGAGGGTCACGGCGCAAGCTTGAACCACCGTGTGGGGGTCTTGATACGGCCTGGCAGACAGTGATGAAGCCAAGTAATTTTGTGAGGCTTCTTAATTTTGAGATTAGTGTGTTCTTGGCTATCAGCCTGAATGAGAATTCATTTTTCTCTTTTAGATAACTGGGCCATCTAAGTTGCTACCCTCAAGGTCAAAGACTACATTGTAGAATACCCTGGACTGGTTAAAACCCTTTTGCCCTGGGAATGAACCATGCTGAGGACATGAGGGCCTCCTCCTACCCCTACCCCCCCATACCACGGAGCGTCACACTGTCTGAGAGTGGAAAGCTCCCCCGCACAGGCTGGAGAGCCAATGGCAACCTTTTTATTATTCACTATTATTTTTAGTATTATATCTTAAAAAAAGAAATCTGTAGTGAACTCATGGCTTTTTACTATACCATCCACCTAAAATTTATAGCATTTTTTATGAAGTGAAAAATGCCCTTAGTTTCTTATCTTAATTTTTCAGGTTTCATGGATTAGTTTCACTGAGTTTGTACAGCCGATTCTCTCTTGAAAAGCTTGTCAGTAATAAGTAACACATTTCCACCCAATGTTTAAGTTAGAGTGGCTTATAAAATGCTGTCATTAGCTGTTTAACTGTCATTGAACCTACGGCTACATCAGGAAGGCAGAGGCATTCTCTACAAGTGAGCACAGGAGAAAGAAAATGTCTTACCCAAAAGCCATGGAGACAGGCTTTCTCCCATCCAGAGTTCTAGAAGCATTTTGTCAGACTCAGGTCAATTACCTGCAGTTTTATGCATCATTATATGCATGAAATTGACATTTTGTATAAACATCATCCATGTGTTATTATGAACTACTCATAACTTGCATTTTAACCATAAGGGAGCCAAACAAGAAAAGCTTTCAAAGAAAATCAAAGAAAGCCCATTTCTTCAGACCAAACCCTGGGTGTACTGACCTTGCCTTCTGTGTACCTACAGGAAAAAATATCAAGAGGCCGCCCCCCAAGTCTTACCTTATCCATGCTGGTCTGGAGCCCCTGACCTTCACCAACATGTTCCCCAGCTGGGAGCACAGAGAGGACATCGCCGAGATCACAGAACTGGTGAGCGCGCTTTCTCTCCCCGTGAAGGTAGTTCCCCGCTGTTGAGGTTGTGGGTTGACTTTACCTTGGGGAAAAGCATCAATTGCATTTTCAAAATAGGAAAACATTTTTCCTTTTACAACACATTAATGAGTCTACATAGAATTTGATCAGGAATAGAAGAAATCATCTGAACTATTTTGGTTAATTTGCTATACTTGGTGCTCAAGTTAAAAGAACTTAAAAGCAAAGGTGGGGACGCCTGGGTGGCTCAGTGGGTTAAAGCCTCTGCCTTTGGCTCAGGTCATGGTCTCAGGGTCCTGGGATCGAGCCCTGCATCGGGCTCTCTGCTCAGTGGGGAGCCTGCTTCCTACTCTCTCTCTGCCTGCCTCTCTGCCTACTTGTGATCTCTGTCAAATAAATAAATAAAATCTTAAAAAAAAAAAAAAAAGCAAAGGTGACCTTAATTACTCTGCAGAATATACATAAGTAAAAGCTGCCATCTTTTCCTTCTATTAGCTAAAAATCTGTCGCTTTTCAAGGTCTGTATAAGGCACAACAAAATGCTCTTGTTTTAGACATTAACCTTGTGTTAGAGGAGACATGAAATAAACCCGTGATGGATTAACCTGCTCAAATAACAGAGTGAAAGAATGTATCGTGAGTCATTCCCGATAAGTAGTGTTAATAGCCCATTAATAGTCTTTAATGACACCAGCTGGTGTTAGCACACGAAGCATTTATCATAACCTTTATTTGCTAAAACATACTATTAACTATAACGTCATAATTTCCAACCACATAGGGAAAAAAAAAAAGCTTAGTACAACTTTGTTGAATTTCTTAAGTTATGAGTTTTTTACATTGCTAGCAGTAGGAATTCCAAGGGTTTTTTTTGTTTGTTTTTTGTTTTGTTTTGCTTTGGTAAGGAAATAGGTTTGTTCCATTTCAGTTTTCTTACTGTGTAGGAGAGCTGCTGTTCCAGGGGAGAGATCATGGTATTTTATGGAAGGTCTGAACAGGTTTACAGAAAGAGAGTTCACTGCTGTTTACCAATGGATATTTAGTGCAAGTGCATGTTTGTGCAAGCGGCCCTGCTGAGCCTCACCTCTCTCTGGAACCAAATGGACTGGGTCTGCATGGGGAGGAGCCTACAGTCCTGGCAGAGGGCTCCATTCGCTGTAAATGTGCAGTCCACACTAGGGACGACGTGTACGGTCATGGCCTCCTGCAATCTGCGTTGAAGGCAGTAATCCCCCTGTTGCCTGCATCCGCTGGAGGTCCCGGGGCGGCAGTGGACTTGGAGCATGGTGTGCAGACACCAACCTGTAGTAATAACCCGAGTGCCAGGTGCATGCTGTGCGCCAGGCACGGCTCCAAGCTCTTGACGTGTATTTTCTCATTTATTTTCACAGTAGTCTATTAAGATGCATCTTCGTGTTATCCCTGTTTTTCCAGGGAAGGATCGAGGCACAGAAACCTGCCATAGCTTGTCCCTGGTCTCAGATGCAGGCTTGCTCCAAAACCCCCTCCGTGATCACTAGTCTGTACCATCATCGGTGAATCTGGCAGCACCGTTAGTCATTCATTCCCGCCACTTAGAAGGAGGGAGCCAATCTGGGATTCCAGGTTTAACACCAGAAGATCATTTACATGGAATAACCTGTTCAAATTATATGCACAGAGTGGTTTTTGTTGTTGTTTTTAATCTAGATTCAACAGCATATTCTAGATGCATTTTCTTACCTTTTTCTATTCCAGATTGAGAAATGATAGTAGAGGATATGATTCCTTTTAAGGTTATTTTTAAAGACTTTTAAACAAATTCCATTATTTGAATGTTTCTAGTGTTCATAGAGTTCAAATTTAATAATCTTATGCCATAATTCACTCATGTGATTGGTCCCTAAACGTTTTTCCGAGGCAGCCCCAAGGCAGGATTTATTTGGTAGGGGTGGGGAGACATCTAAAAGTCAGGAGGACTGTGAGGCTTTGGGCAATTCCTTTCCATGTCAGAGCCTGCTTCCTCCCCAGCGAGCCCCTGGGGCTGGGGCGCAGAGCAGCCAATGGGGCTGTATGTGCACAGGTGCGCGGGAACATCTGTGCACATGCAGGGCATGAAGTTCTCTGTGCTCCCTCCTCCACTTCTCTAGGATACGGAAGTTTCCAATCAAATCACCCTTGTGGAAGATGTGTTAGCCAAACTCTGTAAAACCATTTACCCCCTGGCCGATCTGCTGGCCAGGCCACTGCCCGAGGGAGTTGATCCTCTGAAGCTTGAGATTTATCTCACAGATGAAGACTTCGAGGTAAGCTGGTCTTCCTGGGGGCTGGCATTTAAGCACTCCGAGGGCTTGGCTGGGAGTGCTCGTCCTCACCCACGGGGCGATTCTCCCCATTTTGCAGTTTGCACTAGACATGACAAGAGAGGAGTACAGCGCACTGCCTGCGTGGAAGCAGGTGAACCTGAAGAAAGCGAAAGGTCTGTTCTGAGCGGGAGAGATGCTGGAGGAACCTCTGTCGTCACTTTCAATACCATTGGACCAGGGAAATGGGTATTTTTTTTTTTTTCTTGGACTGGTATTTAAAAAAAAAAACACACACAACAAAGATTTTTTAAATCAGGGTTTTCCAAAACCTGAAGTGATCAGCTCTACTGCTTGTCCCGGATTTGTGCATTTTGTAAATGTTTAAGAGAGCCCTTTGGAAACTCTCTTTCCACGATTCAGCAGGTGATGTTAATAAAGGCGTCCCCCACGTGCACATGCGCGGTGGTTCCCGCGCTGCCCGCCGCGTCCGGTGGGCTGCCTACCTTTTTTTGGAAGCAATTCTCTTTCTAAAGTGTTATTTTGATAGTTTGTGGGTTCTAAAATATATATATTTATATAAACACCATATAAATCAAATACGTATTTAACAAAGCAGTATGTATCCATTCACTCTTACGATTTGTTTTTCTTTTGGTGTCAAAATAATTTTAAAAGGTAGATGGAGTCGCTTCTGTGGCATTAGCTCGGGCACCCCTCCGTATTTTCACACACGTTCAGAAACGTCTCCTTCAGCATTAGGTCTGACTTGTTCTGAGTGCTGCTTCTGGTGCTAAAATGAACAAATGAATTTGTACTTCCTGGCATGGGCTCTGAAGACTCTGTGCGAATCCACCTCTCTACCTTAATATCTCCCCGAAATGTATAGTGCCTTGTTTTTATGTACAGTTTATATACAGAAAAGTTTGCTCTGCATTTTTTGATGATGGTTTGGAACAATTATCTCCAATTTTACTCTCAAATAGTAGAAAGGAAAAAAAAAATCTCAAATTTCTAACACCTATTGTAAACATGAAACATGTCATTTTGCGATACAGAACTCCAAAATAAAAGCTTCAAGAATAAACACAGTAATTGATTGATTCACATTGGATCCCAGGCATGGTCCTTTCTGAACAATGTGGGGTTTTCTTTGTAAATGTTAACCTAGTATCAGTATTTTGCTATGAAATATTAACCACTATAACTTTTCATTTAGTTTAGGGCCAGATTTTTTAATAGGGTCATATAACTGAATAGACTTTGGACCTGTAACATTCGTTCTGAGTATTAGACTAAAGATGGGTTTTTGCAAATCATCCCTCAACAGAAGCTTTTTACCCTGAAACTGTTTTTGCATTTCTTACATAGGATCTCAGTGTCTTTTTTTTTTTTTTAAAGATTTTATTTATTTGACAGAGAGAGAAAGAGATCACAAGTAGGCAGAGAGGCAGGCAGAGAGAGAGAGGGAAGCAGGCTCCCGGCTGAGCAGAGAGCCCGATGCGGGGCTCGATCCCAGGACCCTGAGATCATGACCCGAGCCGAAGGCAGAGGCTTTAACCCACTGAGCCACCCAGGCGCCCCTCAGTGTCTTTTTATTTATTTATTTATTTATTTAAGATTTTATCCACTTATTTGACAGACAGAGATCACAGGTAGGCAGAGAGGCAGCCAGAGAGAGAGGAAGGGAAGCAGGCTCCCCGCTGAGCAGAGAGGCAGAGAGCCCAGGACCCTGGGATCATGACCTGGCCGAAGGCAGAGGCTTTAACCCACTGAGCCACCCAGGCGCCCCCCCCATTCTTAAAAAGACACTGAGGGGGTGCCTGGGTGGCTCAGTGGGTTAAAGCCTCTGCCTTCGGCTCGGGTCGTGATCCCAGGGTCCTGGGATCGAGCCCTGCATCGGGCTCTCTGCTCAGTGGGGAGCCTGCTTCCCTTCCTCTCTCTCTGCCTGCCTCTCTGCCTACCTGTGATCTCTGTCAAATAAATGGATAAAATCTTAAAAAAAAAAAAAAAAAAGAAAAAGAAAAGGGAAATCTAAAAATGAGAAAACTCCCCACAGGCTCCTATATTCATAAAATCCCACAACTGTGGTTTTGAATAAATACCAGAGACTTGCTGTGAATTGTTGTCCTACCCACCCAGCCCCGTTTTGGTCTCAGTCTTAACACATTAGATAACAGCACATTGGCTTTACATGTTGTCACTTAACGTTGCTTGTGTGTCCTAACCCTGGGACTCCAGGTCAGCAGCCTATCACCCACTCCCGGGCCCACCACTTTGAGACTCTGGAATTTTGGACAGTCACTGAACTTTCCCACCTTGATTTGCCTCAGTTTGGAAAAAAAAAAAAAAAAAAAGAGAGAGAGTCAATACTAGCTATCCTGCCCACATCTGAGGATTGGTTCTCAGGTTGGATCAAGCAGAAGCTCTTCGGATATTTCAAGTGCTGATGCCTGCCGGTGTTGATGTTTCCGTTATAGGAGCTGAAATAGGAAAGCTTCAGTGGTAAAGTGAAGTAGTGTAGTCACACCCGCGGAATTACAAATTAACCCAGAACGAGTAGAACCTTCCAAAGAAATCAACGTAGAGGGGAAAGGAGAGGGGGGCATTCAGAATTAGTGTCCTGCAGGCAGAATGCAAAGAGGAGCAGGGGCTCAGAGCAGGTAAGCCAACCGGGGGAGTTTCCAAAGGACAGAGGCGGGGCGACCGTTCAAAGTCACCCAGATCCCTGCGTACACAGACGGGAGCTCGGGTTGCTGCGAGGACTTCAGTGGATAGCCTGCTGAGGCAGCAGGTAAGGTCGGTGTCACCAGCGGTGTAGACAGGGTGCCGGCAGTCGGCTTCCTGCCTCTCCTCTCTAAAGGGGGTGCCCATCTCGTATACCTACTGACTTCCTGTTTGCCTCTCTTCATCTGAGTCATTTCCTGCGTCTCTTTCCTGCTTACAGACCCGGATCCTCTCTTCCTTGGTTTTTCTGCAGCTTTTCCCTTCACAGCTGCAACTTTGGAAATCTGCATACGGCGGGAAGGACCCAGCCTAAAAACTGGAGTTGCTGAATTTGAGCAACTCAGCCGATGAGTTGCTCCAGCATTCCAGGCCTTTCTCTATAGCTGCTCCAGAAGCAAACCACCCTGGGGTACGTGTATTAAACATGGCAGAGTCGTGTAGTTGCCTTAATTTATGGCTTTTGAACCAAAGGACTTCAGAAAAGAGGAGTATTGTCTGGGTTGGGATTGCCATCAGAGCTGCAGTGGGACTCATGACTGCCACATGTGTTCCGAGGCGATGGAGGAACTGCACGAATGCCATCAGTTTCCAGAGGACAGAGACCACTGTCCCTGTCCCTCTTAGGCCGTGCACAGGTCAGGGTCAGGGAAATCTGGCTCAAAGACCCACATCTTTCCCTCCTTATTTTAAAACTTTGGCCCCACGTCTAGAGCTCCCATTTTGCTAAAAGAAGATGCATTCCAGAAACAGCTTGATAATCTGTATCCATGTTGGTCTTTACTTTTGTCATTTTTCTTTTTTCCTGATTATAAAAGTAACACTTCTGTCCATACAGAGACTTACACATGAACGTTCATAGCATTATTCATAATAGCACAAGCCCACAAACCCAGTTGTCCACTGACTAGAAATGGATAAATATGGTGTGTCCGTGCAAAGGAATATTCTCTAACGACGTGGAGACGCACTCCTGATACACACTCCCACATGGTAAACCTCAAAAACACCATCAAGCCAAAGAAACCGGTATGAAAGGCCACCTGTTGCTTAATTCCATGTATATGAAATTTCAGAAAATCCATTCAGAGAGGAGATCCATGGTGGATGGGGAAGGAGATGGGAGGGAAGGTTGCCTGCAAAGGCGCACAGGGATCTTTTGGGGGAGCATGATGGAAATCGGTCTCAATCTGGACTTTGGCGATGGTCCCACAACTCTATAAATGAAGTCCTAGGACTTTATTGTACACCTTACACAGGTGGGTTTTCTGCCATGTATAGGTCAAGGAGACTGATCAGTCTTGATCAATGTGAAAAATGCAAACATGAAAGTATGATGCAAATAAAAGGATGCAAACCTAATATATAATTTAGGAATTGAGAGTCACAGGTGTCCCCATGGCTAAATAATTACTCATGCCGCTCGTGAAGGCAGTAAGGCAGACTATTTGGGACTATTACAATAGGTATAGGATCCTGGCGATGAGGGGTAGGGGAGAGAGATTGGGCTCAACTCCAGATACAAGGAAGAGTGGGAATTTATAGCCAAAGTCAGTGGAGAGAAAATGACTAAGAGGAAACACGAGGGAAAGGGGAGATCTGGCTACACGGACCTCACCGGATTCTTGCTGAAGCCAGGCCAGGGTGACCAGACAGCACCAGGGGATGGTGGAGAATGACGAACCCCATCAGATCCCAAGGGCAATGGGATAATGAGGAGAGGGCAGGGGATCTGACTAAACCTGACAGGATTTGCGCTAAAACTGTGCTCTTGGAGGACATGCCCAGGGACAGGACCTTGCTGGGCTCAGAGAAGCCTGACAAAAGATTGGTCAAGGAGAGTATCTTCGTCCCTACTTCTCAAATCCAAGTACTTCAATAATTTGGCTTATGTTCTTCTAGATTTTTCTTTGCATCTATTAACAGAGATACATGCTCATTTTTTTTTTTTTTGAGAAAAAAGTCACATTTGTTCTCTGCCATCGTAATTTTCTGTTAACAGTAGGGCTCCCACGCTGATTCTTTGATGTCTGTCTGAGCGTGTGTGAAGCTGAGGCCACCTGGGCCACACTGCAAAGGCCTAAGCCAGCAATTGCGGGGGCCCAGCTCCACCACCCCACAAGCATTCCCCAGTCCTCGCTGAGGATGGGCAGCATAAAGCTGGGGCCCAGAGAAACGATCTAGGTATTTGTTTTCACGGGCCTTCCTCAATCCCCAGTCCAGAGTAAGGGCCAGAAGCTTCCAAATGGGCCTCTGTACAGAGCCTTGCTGAACAGCAATGACTAGTGAGTGACTAGGAAGTGTCAAGGGGACAACAGCAAATCACAGATCAAGGTAATGATTCAAACGCAAATGATGGGAAATCGAATATATACAGTATGGCATTGGACCCAAAGAAAAATCCGTACCTTACTTCTAAAGAATAAATGCGTTGCAAATACTTGCTCTTTCTGCACCAGAGAAGGAAGGCCGGGCTGCTCCAGACGATGCAATTAGAGGTAACCCAAGAGTTAGATCAGAAAGATGGACTTGCAAGGGGAGAACATTGGAGGTTCTCAGTTCCTGTACGCACACCACGGATGTGCTGAAATGCCACCCCCCATGCTCACCGTTCGAATTCACATGGCATGACCTTGATCCTTAAGGATTGGGGGGAAGAAAGAGGAACAGATCAGCATCCCTTGTTTCTATCAACAAACTTGTCCCCTACTGAGCTTTTCCCTCATGCTGAGTTTGAGAAAAAGGCTACAGGAGTAGAAGCGAATGCAAGCTGAAGGGCAGGCAGGCAGTGCCCACACTGCCTCAGCCCCAAAACGCCTGCACAGCCTCGCTGCGCCGGCGGGACATGTTTCTGTCACCAAATGCCACAGAGCTCTGCAAGTCTCTTAAGGGATAGATTGGAACTGACTTGCAGTATCTGGAAATTGACATCAATTGCCTGTTATTAAATCTCACTGAATTGTTAAGTCCAACCTTGCCATCCAAACACCGTTTTAGCATTCACTCTGAGATGGTTCTAATTGGCTGTGTTATCTCTGTCCAGGTAAAGAAATATCAAACCACCACTGAGCAAGGAGCCTTCTGCGTAAGTGGAAGCAAAGAAAAAGAAAAGGGGGCAGGTTGACAGACAAGCCTCAGCGGTCCTTTTTGGTTAGTGGTTTCTCCATATTAAAAACAAAACAAAAAAACCCAAGCAACTAAACAGTGCATTTGAGGACTGTTGGACATGCTTAGTGCCCGAGCCCATCGGCGGGGAAGATTATACAACAGGCACCCTGCCTCCCGTCCGGCCAGGAATAATCAAGTTCCCTTCTGGACACTTGTGCATCCTGAAGGAGGTGGCCATTCTGGTTTTTGAATCAGGAATCACAAAGGGTGAGCAT